GAACTGTTTTGAAGTATAGGCGCTCACTCATCGGTGCTCCACTCATTGTTAGGAACTTTATATGGATCCAAATGATTAATAATGCTGATTTTGTCAACATACCGGTCCCTGGCTTCTCTATTTAATGTGTCCCGGTAAATTCCAGATACTTTTCGGGATTTTAACATCTTTTTTTCTCTCTACTTCTACGTCTCTTCTTTCAACAACAACGATGTATCAGAGCTATGTTTACGTTCTCGTAGCCCTCAATATGGCCGCCACGTCCCACAATGCAACGCGGATCCCGAGCCCTATAACAATAATTTTTTGTCACCTTATTAAATGGCAGAGCTTTAGATCATCAAGGAAATGTAAAATAATAGCAAATATAGGGAATAATATGTTGAGTCTCCGAAAGAGATTTGATCCTTCAGCAATGGATGCAACACAGTTTGTGTGAGTGGAGTAGCCATATGTTGATGTCATAAGAAGGGGCGGGGCCTCGAGCAGATCTGGTACCTACACCAGCACCAAGCAGTCCTCCAATAGCGTATTAATCTATCACCATGGTAACACTCATTGTTTGTCTTCCAAGATGGGGGTGTCTTTAAGTTTTATGACCTTGTTATAAATGTTTTATAATGGCTCCATGTGGGAAAGAAAAATCTGCTGAGTCACTGTCAGACATGATGGTTTAAAACAACAGGAAGCAGCAGCTCAGTATACCCATATTAGGAATGTTGGAGGCAGGAGCATGTCTATATCTAGAGGATAATCATGCTCAGTCTGTGAGCGTTGCATAGATTCTGGTTCAGTAGAGGACAGATTCAGTCTGATCAGCTCAGGGGGATGAAGGCCTTCCTCACACAGATTAGTTCCAGTGGTTACGGAAAACACTTCCTGTTGCCCTTTCTAACTCGAGACTTAATGCAGAAATGAAAAATAAAATTGGAGAATGCATTTTAAAGACAGGAGAAGGAGGTGGGGTATGAGAAGAAGCTGCTGGAGTTGATGCATAATTTTAAATAAGGTTGACTTAGGTAGGCCGTTTTAGCATTTATTAAAAGCACTCTGTTGTTCCATTTGTAGATCAGTCAAACAGGATCATTGCTGGTCAAATCACTTCTAGAATGAACTGTAATAACTGATTTTCTAAATCGGGAAGCAAAATGCTAGGAAACTGGAGAGAACATTGCACTCACTAATGACATTCTCATTGTATCTGTGCTCGTCCTGTTGGATCTCAGTGCTGCATTTGATCCAGTTGATCAGAATATTCTTTTAGAAAGACTTCAATATTTTGTAGGAATTAAAGGAACAGCTCTAGACTGGTTTAAATTTGATCTATCTGATTGATTCCAGATGGTTCCGGTTCTCTTGCTCTCTGACCCAGTCTGACTGTCTTTCCTCCAGACTCTGAGGCCTTTTGATTCTTTTGGTGACGGAAACACGAAGCAAGAGCAGATTCTGTAAGATTATTAATCTCCTTTTGGGGATGCTCTAAACGTTCTGGAAGCGGACCGTTAAGAGCGCCCCGCTTCGAGAACGTTTAGGGCATTCCGCCTCTAGAGCGTTTAGAGCGTCCCGCTTCCAGGGCCTCTAGAGCGTCCTGCTTCCAAGGAGTCTAGAGCGTCCTGCTTCCAAGGAGTCTAGAGCGTCCCGCTTCCAAGGAGTCTAGAGCGTCCCGCTTCCAAGGAGTCTAGAGCGTCCCGCTTCCAAGGAGTCTAGAGCGTCCCGCTTCCAAGGAGTCT